TCGGCGCCGCCGGGATGTTCTTGAGGCATAACATCTCTGATCACGCCTTCCTTCGGATGGGAAGTAAAGCCGTTGGTCCCCGGTTCATGAGTTGATGGGTCGATAGGTAGAGTCCAGGTGTGGGAGCTGCCTTCCTGGCACGTCGGTAGCATTGGTGCTCAGCACGGAAAACAAGATCGACGGAAAAAAACAAACCAAAAGGATAAAAAAAAAACCGATTCCAACATCCTGGCTTCTTCGCTTCGTGATCTTGAAAGTTTTCCAAGTCTTAGATATTTCGAAAAATTGTCTAGGAAAATTTAATTGCGCTGGACATGTTTTCAAAGACTATAATTTTGAAAAATTTTTGTAGCTCGGTAGCTTTAATATTTCGCCAAACATTTCCAAGACCAGAATTTAGAAAAAAAATCTTTGTCCAAGATCATAAAATGTTATGAACGTTTCAGAAGTATTTAAATTTTTCAAGGACTGTGAACTTACATTCCATATATTCAAAATATGAAAATTATTCCGGACCGCACAAGTTTCTTAACTTGTTTGGCTTAGAGACTTCGAATATTTAGTCCCATCATTGAAAAATTGTTCCAAAATCTCTATAATTTATCCCGGCGTTAGGAAATGCAGCAGGCGCATCGTGCCACGTTGCGCGCCAAACAGTGGTCAGGTAATAAAAATGATTAGTTAGCAGTTTTAGTCTATAAAGCAGCTCGCGACATGCGGCTCGCTCTCTTTTTCATTCGGTTAGTCGTCGGTGCAGTAAGTCAGGTTAAATTAGGTGAAAAGTGAATAAGAATAACCTTAGTGCTTAGTGAAGTACAGTGCTTTGTGTTTTTTAAAAAGAAAGGAAAGAAAGCTCATTTCCTTACTGGCGCAGCGACGGTAGGATTGAGCATCTGGAGTGTATTCAAAAGAGGCCCAGCGACAGGGATTCCAAGGAGGCCACGTTACCCAACCAGGTGGAATTTATCATCATCACGGGACGACGCCCAACCTTAGAGGACGACAGCTAAGGCCCGCTTCGGAGCTCATCACCCACAAATCAACGAGCTACATGCTCAAATCAATCACGTGAGTAACCATTTCATTACCTTTTTACTGTGGAAAAATTGCTTTGTGCGCATAAAAATGCCAAGCAACCGGCAAATTGAAATTGAGCAGCTTCATGCCACAGTGGCTGAGCTTCAAGAGTTGCTACGAGGCAACGGGCGGCAGGTTGATAATTTCAAATTGCCAGACCCAATCAAAAATATGTCTGATTTCACAGGCAATAAAAAAGAACTAGCCGCCTGGCTCGAAGAGTTAGACGAGCTATATGAAATGTATCTCGTGAAGGGAGAAAATGACGCTCCCGACACAATTCCAAGCCACTACATGCGGGCTATTAAAAATAAAATAAAAGGTGAAGCGCGCACAATTTTATGTGCAAATGGAAACCCCAGCTCGGTACCAGGTATCAGGAGGGTTTTACTCGAAAACTATGGCGATCAAAGAGATCTTGCCACAAACCTATCACAACTGTTTCACATGAAACGGGGTGATAGGAACAATCACAAATTTTACGCCGACGTTAAGGAATTATCGTCGAAATTAAAAATGAATCTAACCTTGAACCCGGTCGAAACCAATCATTTAATTGAAATCCTTATAATCGCAAAGTATCTCGACAACATCGGCGAACCACTCGCATCCATAATCAGGCAGTCAAAGCCGGAATCATTAGAGGAGGCATACCAAGCAGTATGCATTAATCAAAATGCGGAAGCGAGAAATCGCCCAGCTTACCAAAACAAATCACACCTTCGACAAAATTCCAGCAATGAAGGCAGTTCTAAATTCCCTCCTAAACCACCATTCAAGAAAAACTTTACTCAGCACAAACCTAGCTACAAAACTAAAGCTGAGGTTCATAATAACGAGATAGAAGAGGAACGGGAGGAAGACGAACCCGACGCATTAAATTACAGCGACGATGACGACGATGACAATGACGGACATGGCGAGGTGGACGAATCAAATTTTCAAAACGTTCGCTTAATAAAACAACTGACATGAATTTCATACCGTATTTGCGAATACCCACTACAAAAGGCTATCTTAATTTCCTAGTAGATACGGGTGCAAATAAATCTTACATTAATCCGGAACATGTTAAAAAATCCAAAACCGTGAAGAGACCCGCCGTCATAACAAACAAAAACGGTAAGTTTGTTATCGACAGCATTGTGCACGTAAATCTGTTTCCAGAGACCCTCACGGAAAAGCTTCCTTATTATGTGTTTAAATTTCATCATTTCTTTGATGGCCTTATAGGCTATGAAAATTTAGCTGCCATGCGAGCAGTCATTGATACTTCCAAGAAATATATCACCATCAACAACCAAAGGTACACTGTGTCGAAATATTTTCCCACTTCTATCAATTTCCACGGGACCAGTGAAAACCTTTTTGAAATCAATACAACCATTGATGGATCATTTGTTATTGATCAGGAGATAAATTTGAACTCCAACATAATTTTAAAGACAGGTGTTTACGAAGCAAAAAATAACAAAGCTTTAGTACATCTGGTTTCAAGAAAGGGACCAGTCACAAAGGAAATGGTTCTTAATCCATTCCCGAATGACGCATTTGAATTAGAGATTAACCAACAAAAGATAAAATCTCTTAATTTCCCATCTGAGCATTTAAATCATGAGGAAAAGAATTCTCTAATTAAAACCCTCAAACACTTTAAAGATGTATTTTTTTCGGACGACCAAAAATTGACATTTACCCATGAAGTAAAACATTCCATTAATACGACTGATGAAAAACCCATTCATCAGAGAACGTATAAATATCCTTACCATCTTCGGGAGGAAGTTTCCACCCAAATCAAGAAGATGTTGGATAACGGTATAATTAGAGAGTCCTCTTCACAATGGACCTCACCCATATGGGTAGTGCCGAAAAAGCTCGACAACTCTGGGAAGCGAAAGTACCGCATTGTTGTCGATTATCGAAAATTGAACGAAAAAACCCCAGCGGATCGCTACCCGATCCCTGAAGTGAGCGAAATCCTAGACCGATTAGGAAAAGCTCAGTATTTTACGGTGCTCGACCTAGCTAGTGGTTTCCACCAGATTGAGGTCGACCCCAAAGATATTCCCAAAACGGCCTTTAATATAGACCATGGGAAGTATGAGTTCGTACGAATGCCATTCGGGTTGAAGAACGCCCCGGCAACGTTTCAACGACTCATGGACTCAGTGCTGAGAAAGCACTTGGGTATAAGATGCTTCGTCTACATGGACGACATCATTATATTTAGTACGAATTTACAGGCACACCTAGAGGATATTAAAAAGGTCCTCCAAACTTTGAGAGAAGCAAATCTCAAAGTGCAATGCGACAAGTCAGATTTCCTCCGAAAGGAAGTAGGTTTTCTTGGACATGTCGTCACAACAGATGGGGTTAAACCCAATCCAAGCAAAATAGAGGCAATAAAGGCCTGGCCTCTGCCATAAACTCCGAAGGAACTTAAATCATTCCTAGGAACAATTAGCTATTACAGGCGGTTTGTTCCCAAATTCGCCCACATAGCGAAGCCCATGACTTCAAAATTAAGGGGCAAAACAAAAAACATAGAGATCGACCATGAATACGAAAGAGCGTTTGAAAAGCTTAAAGAAATAATGACTAGCGATACTCTATTGGCATATCCTAATTTTGATGAGCCGTTTATTCTCACAACGGACGCATCAAATGTGGCTATTGGAGCAGTCCTTGCCCAGCTTCATGAAGGAAAAGAACGCCCAATCGCGTATCTTTCCCGAACGCTAAGCAAGGCCGAAGAAAATTATTCCGCAACGGCCAAAGAGTTGCTAGCAATTTATTTTGCTGCGAAAACCTTTAGGCCATATTTGTATGGTAGAGAGTTCACAATCTACACCGATCACGAACCTCTCACTAAGGAATTAAAGCTAACAGATTCTACAGGCAGAGTCACTAGACAACGGCTCTATCTGGAACAATTTGATTTCAAGATAATTTACAAAAAAGGGAAGCAAAATGTCGTCGCTGACGGCTTGTCACGGATTCCTCGTTTGGATATTAACCTAAATGAGGAATTATCAAATGAACTTTTTGAAAACGACCCAATTTATGGGTCAGAAATTATAAATAAATATGCGAATCAAATCATTCTTTATAAAACAAATGACGCTGGAAAAATTCCACACTTGTCGTGTATGATTTTTCCAAATCATTTTAGAAACATTTATCACAGACCGGACTTTAACAAAGAAGACCTAAAGGACATATTACGAAGACATATTAACCCGGCCAAGACAAATGGTATCTATGCAGAGCCGAAATTGGCCTATATTTGTAAAGAAATTATAAACAGCGATTTCAATAATATAAAAGTACACTTTTCTAACATAAAATTACCAGATTTAATTTCAGGAACCGATCAAGATGATTTCATAAGGAAATGCCACAACTTCAACCACAGGAACTACAAGCTAACATATGTGGAAGTGCAAAAATCCGTTTTCTTTCCACGTATGTTAGTGAAAGTTAAAGAGTTTATTAAGAATTGCGAATCTTGTAAATTTGCAAAATATGAACGGAAACCATTCAAAATTCACCATACCAGACGAATTTATAATGGTCCCTTCGAGAATGTTTTTATGGATGTTTTTGTTAAAGAATCAGAAAAATTCCTAACATTAGTAGATGCGTTCTCAAAGTTTGCGCAAATATACAAGATAGCAAACGAAACAACTGAAGAAATCATAGAAACACTAATTGAATATTTTAAAACTTTTGGCATCCCAAAAATGATCACTTGTGATCAGGCAACAAGCTTTCGAAATTCAAAATTTAGAGAATTCCTTCTAAATCATGGCATCACCTTGCATTTCGCCAGCTGCAGTGATAGTAATGGTATCGTGGAACGATTCCACAGCACCTTACTGGAAATGTACATGGCAAACAGACAAAAAGTTGAAAATCATATGTTTGAAAATAGAATTCAAAACATGACCAGAAAATTAAATAATGTAGCAGATCAATTGAATGACATAGCATCAGAAAATAGAAAAGATTTTGGATTGGTAGGTTTACTCTTTTGCTTAGACGAACTTACACAACAGCTAGAAAATTTAGAAGAAGCTATTGTTTTGGCCCAACATGGCATCCCGAGTAGCAGAATCATCACCGCTGCGGAGATGACGAAGATCCAAAGTCTCCTGGAAGGAAGTGGTCTCATCGTAGGAGCCCTAGATTTCGCTAGTGCTTACGTCGTGTCATCAAAGGAATCAATTGCCTACATCTTGAAGATTCCAAGGATCAAGGATGCGGAATATAGTCTCAACTACATTGAACCGGTAACATTCAACAACTCACGCATTCACATATCAACAAACTATTATCTGCAAGGACAGACATCATTTGCCTTAAAATCATTATGCACGATGAGCAGAAATATTTACATCTGTTCAAACTCACAACTGGAGCCAATGACAAGTTGTATTCAACAGCTGATGAAAGGTGAGCCAACCCAATGCCCTATGGAACGTACATACACCAACAATATCATTAAAAGAATCGACGATTCAAATATCATAATCAATGATGCGGAAGTAACAATAACTTCGAACTGCTCATTGAACAACAGAAAACTCAAGGGTTCTTTCCTTGTCCAGTTTTCCAACTGTACAATTTTTATCAACGACGAAATGTACTCAAACGTTAACAAGGAGATCCGGTTGGCATCGTTCACACCAACCACGGGATTGAAGGTAAATTCTACAGCGCTGGTGAACAAATTCCCTATCGAATATTTACAGACATTACATTTGGAACAACGTGATCATATCGATCACATCAACCTAAAGACGGACAATATACATTGGAAGCTCAAGCTCATCGGGTGGTCATCGCTTGGTTTTGGCTTGTTAATATCAATCATTCTTATCACAAAGGTATCATTCTGGATCTGGAAAATGACTGTACCGAGATCATCAACATCCTGTCGGGAGGAACTTCAAGACCATCGTAGCGAGGAGATAACAACGGAACCGGAGAGGAGAGAGTACCCGAAGATTTCAATGGTGCCGCAGGCGTAACACCAGGACGAAGAAAGCCGAGGACGACTTTCAACCCAGGGGGAAGCCGTTAGGAAATGCAGCAGGCGCATCGTGCCACGTTGCGCGCCAAACAGTGGTCAGGTAATAAAAATGATTAGTTAGCAGTTTTAGTCTATAAAGCAGCTCGCGACATGCGGCTCGCTCTCTTTTTCATTCGGTTAGTCGTCGGTGCAGTAAGTCAGGTTAAATTAGGTGAAAAGTGAATAAGAATAACCTTAGTGCTTAGTGAAGTACAGTGCTTTGTGTTTTTTAAAAAGAAAGGAAAGAAAGCTCATTTCCTTACTCGGGATCTTTCAATTTTCTTTCGATGTCCAGATGATAAGTCCGAGACGCATGCAAAATATTCTACACGGCAAATAAACCTGACTCATATGTGAGTCCCGTTCACTAAAATTCGCATTTGCGTAAATTTTTACTCAAATATGAGCAAATATCACTCATATTTGAATGGTATTTATTCACATATGAGTGACATTTACGCATCTTTGAGTAAAAATTTACTCATGACCTACGATTTTGCGAATTTAAGTGAACTTGACTCAAATATGAGTTAGATTAATTTGCCGTGTGCATTCATGATTTTTGAAAATTTTCCGATGTTCATTTTGGAAAATTTTCCTCGTTCCAGAATAGAATTTTTTTTCTTGGACCGCTATCTAGAAAACTTGTGTAGGTCCTATAGCAGAGGTGTTTCAAAAGATTCTATATCCGAGGTCTTTAAAATTGTCTAAAAATTGTCAACATTTGTCTTGTTATTATTATTTGATTACCTGATAAGCTATAGCGATGATGCAAATAATATAGTCATTTTATGTCCGACATCACTCAAATAGGTCGATGAGGGGAAACTATTAAATAACAAAAAAAAAAAAAAATTTACGTATAAGCGAGTCATTTAATGATAAATGCATGAATTAATAAAAAAAATATATTTTGTGTACTTTTTGGATAAAGCGTAGAATGGAAAACGATTTAAAATAGAGCTAAATTTTCAAATTTTGGGTGATATAAAACAAAAATAAAATTTGCATTAGTCATGGTGACCAGCAAATCCGAATTTGTAATTTACCGGGGTTTTCCCGGAATTTTAATAATTTTCCCGGTTGTTTCTCTTCGACTCAATCGCATCCGGTTAAATGTATATTTCACAACCGGGAAATACCAAAAATCGTTGATTTTTTTTTATCAAGAAGTCATTAAGATTTTTCGATGTTTTATCTATTTTGAAAAAAAGTTCGGTCAAAACTCTTTACAGGATTTTTATGAACTGTTCTCAAATTTCCTTTAGAATAATTTACTATCTCAGAGTTATTATCAGAGTTTCTCTAAAATTAATTTAGGATTCTCTCCGAGAGACCCTTGAAAATGTCTATACAATATTTCAGAACACTTAAAAATCGAAGAATTCAACCTAAGATTTGCTTCGAAAAATCTTACTGAAACTTCCTTACATACTCCTTACATTCTATTTAGAATTAGTCTGAATATTCCTTATAGTTTCCATGAAACTATCCTCAGAATTTTCATACAATTCTGCTCATAATTATCTTGGAGCTCTTCACTAAATTATTCTCAATATTCGCTTGGAATTCTCCTCAGAATACCTTTAAAATTCTTTTCAAAATGCTCTTGGAATTATTTAAACTCGGAATTCTCATAAAACTCATCTCAGAATTCCTTTGGAATTGTTCCCTTCAAACTCGATTCCCTTGGTATTTATCGCGAGATTCTTGAAACTCTCTTTAGAATTCACCTGATTGTATTTTAATTTTTTTAAAGAATTTCCTGCCAATTGTCATCACATTTCTTCTAAGAACTTATTTTGAATATTCATTTGAAATGGACCTGGAATCCGCTTTACAATCGTCACGAATTTTCAAAAAAAAAAATACTTAAAGATTCTACTCTGAACGTCTGGAGTCCCACAAATGACTTGGAGTTCTAGTGAAATCTCCTTTAGAGTTAAAAAAAAAAGATCTAGGGGTATTTGTCTCTGAACATTGTTGTTATCTGCAGAATTTAACCTAAAATTTTTTTAAAATTCTCATAATATTTAGTTCATTAAAGTGATTGTATTCTGAAAACATGTTCCAGTCCATGGGTCTTGCAATTGTTTATAGCTCCAGAATCTTATTTTTCCCGTTTTTTTTATCAAAATTCACGGGCCTTTCCAGATTTTTTCCCGGCGATTTCGAATTCGCGCTTTTTTCCGGTTTCCCTGAATTCCTGGTTTACTGTATAATAAAATAATAATATTTTTTCGAGACAAATTTTATAGGACCGTTAAACCATTATTTGTTTTATTTTAGAGGAGCCTGAAAAATGCTCAGGATAGGTTGTGATTGTGAGTTTATAAAAATTCTCGATGTGGGTCGCAGTAAACGAAATATTGTAACCATTTTTTCCGATCAATAAATTTCACTATTATTTAGTCACTTTTTTATTGCTTTAAAGTCACTATTTTCGTTATTTTAGTCACTAAAGTCACTACTATTATATTACATATCCACTACCAGCCCTGCCGTAACGCAGGCGTTACGTTTATTTTGAAGAGTAATGTTCACAATTCCATGATTTTTCAAACATTGTGTATTTTCGTTATCAAAAAAAATGACTTTTTCCGAAATTCGTGACTTGAGGTTGACAAATTTTGGAACGAATTTATTCCCGTGTATGTGTTGGTTTTAAATTGTGAAGAATGAGTGTTTGATAGTTTTAATTCAGATAATTAAAACTCAAAAGAATTTCATAAGACGTGAAATCTAACATTTCAACACCGGTTGCTAGTAACTTAGCTTAGCTTAGCTTAGACTGACTGCACATATCAATGGTTGCTACTCCGCGATTGGTCAGAATCAGTGAAATTGTACAATGAATCAACTGAATGGGGCTGGGAGTGACCGACCATTCTCATTGTACAAGTTTCAGTGACTCCATATTTTGTAGATCAATAACGGCGTCGGCCACGTCCTTGCCATCAATGGGAATAGGGAAGGAATATTAGAGTGATCTCTGTTGTTTGTAGGTCGTGTTTACCTCTGCACCCCAACAAAAGATACAGGAAAGGAGATTTTGTTAGTAAGTTGGGTTCGTTGGATCAGGATTCACCTTGATAAGTGATGCGACCATGGTTTTGAATGAATCAGTGTTATCATGCATTGTACTTGGATTTGCCTGAAGCCTAAACAAAATGGTGGATCATTGTAATATAAATCTGAAGACGTTCCATCATCGAAAAGCTGAAAATAAACTTAGAGCATGAGCATGAGCAAAATTGACCGCCCGCAACTTCCAACACCAAAGAGCTGAAAACCAATTCAAACAAATCAAATCAACAGACAAAACCAGGGTGAAGCTGGTATAAATCTAATGATTTTCCGTTATCGAAGAGCTGGAAGAAAACTTAAATAATTTAAATCAATAGATCCAGTCTGAATGAAGGCTGAAAAAAGAGAATAATTATACAGCAATGACCCCATTTTGTCAGCTAGCAGAGTATGTGTATCTTAAACATCCATCTTGAAGGAGGAAGATATGAAATCACACGACAGGATCGGGTCATAACTGTAATGTGAATATTAGGAAGATTTATCATCATCAAACTATTCTTGAATTAACTTGGAATAATGCTTGTGAATAATTGTTATACAGCCACTTTCGGACGTTTCCTTTTTTATATCTTTAGCATATTGGCCGTAGAAAATCACTCGAGAAAATGTTCTTCTTCTTCTTTCTGTTTTGTAAACTGCGGATTTCACTCTGCTGCAAGTTCGCCTTCATTTTTCACAGTCAAAAATTTCACAGACCGAAAATTCCCTTTCAGGTAAATATAATTATACAGGTTGCTTCAACAGGACACTCTCTCGCTCGCGCCGCGCACTCAAACCGTTTCCGATTCCTCGGATTTCCGAACAAATTCTCAGCAGTACTTCTTACGTAGATAAAAGTAGAAAAAAGGAACAATCTCACCAAATCAGCCCAAGTGAATCCTTGGCAAGCAGCTCTGTCACGTTTGGTGTAGTAGTTCCGATCATAGACCCGCTTTACGGAAATCAATCCTCTGGTCTAATATAGTCGATTGCTCCAAGTGGACGTGGCAACTTGCATCTCCTTGACGCGAACACGAAGCGACCGCTCATAAAATCATACAACGCATAAATAAACTATCACTCGCGATGCCACAAATTTCTGGTCCGGGAGAAAAAAAAATCAAACAACGCAGATTGCAACATCTCTCTTCTGATGCTTGAAAACATGATGAATCACGTTTTCTTTTTCGATTCTAAAACTTCCCGGAAAGCAAGAAAAGTACCAATCGGAGGCAGAGGGCCAGCGCTAAGCCGGAAAATACAGCTGAAAACTATGAAAACGAACGCACACAAAAAACAGAGAACAAACTTAAAAAACAACCGTATCCAAAGGGGTTCGAAACTGCACTCTCTAACATATCAACACCGGTTGTTATTGTTGAACTCGAATTCCTTGAACATACCTTTAGAATATTGATTAAGATTTTTTACTGGTTAATTTTTTACTGGCTAACTACAGTATAACAATGGATCAAGGAAACTTCGAGATATGTTTCAAGGAGATTGAAATTTGTGTTTTTTAGTATAATCACAAGGCATTTCTAAAGTGAATTTCAAGAACATTCTGAGAATTGATTATCCAGAGATGTGAAGAAAATTTCAATGGTACACAAGCGAAAATTGCAGATTTTCAAATAGAAAATGATGAAACCATCTAAGATAGTTGAAATCGCATTCTAAGGAGTGCTCCAAGGGAATCGAGATGATAATTCAGAAGAAATTTTGTTTTGTAGAATGCAACAAGACGTTAAAGAGAGCTACAGAAGTAAATTTTAGCAAATTATTGCAAGAGGATTGTTGATTGAATGCTTTGAGTTCTGGAGAGAATGTTTAGAGTGTTCTAAGGAGAAAACGTAGCCTTTATTGCAGATAATTTCAAGGTAAATGTTG